TTTTTTTTTTATTTTATTTTTTATTTTTTTATTTTAATTTTATTTTATTTTATTTGATTCATTTAATTTAATTTAATTTAGTTTAATTAAATTTAACTTTATTTTATTAAATTGTATCTTATTTTATTTTATTTTTATGTAGTATATTTAAATATATTTGTTTACTTTGTTTTTGTTTCTATTTTGTGTTATAATATCAGTAATATCCAATTTTATTTTTTATTTTATTTCACTTTATCAGGCTTAATTTTATTGACCTACTCCTCTTTATTTTATTTTACTTTTCTTCATTTTATATTCTCGTTCGTTTTATTTTATTTTATTTATATTTTATTTTACATTAGTTAAGTATGTATTCGCCATTTCTTTTTTGCATTCTCTTCTATTGTACTTTATTTTATTCCATTTTACTTTACCTTATATATTTCTTCCCTTATTTTATTTGTTTCGTTAGACTTTACCTTATATTATTTTATTTAGCTTTATGCATTTTGTTTTAATTTTTTTTTATTTCTTCTTTATTTTTCCTCATTTTATTCTGTATTAATTAATTCTTCCTCGTTTCCTTTTTAAAGTCATATTATATTATATTATTTTATTCTAATTTACATTATTTCATTTTAATTCTATTTTATTTTATTTATTTCATTAATTTTTTTAATTTTTTCCCATTGAATATTTAATATTCTCCATTTTGTGTTTATTATTTATGTTAAATATTTTAATTTATTTTGCTTTAAATTATATCAATTATCCGTTTTTAATAAACGCATCGCACAAAATATATTCCCTTTTCCAACACTTCGATTGTATTGCAACGCCGTTCAATTTAGCGGCAAACAGCGCAATTATCTTTTTGCTTGATCCGCTCTCAAAGTCACACTCTTGCGATCATATGTTTTTGACATTTCCAATTCAGCTGACATTCTGATTAGACAACTCGCTTATTAAAACCACTTGTTGAATCTCGCAGTTCCGTCTCGATATAATTTTTAAACTATAATTTTCCTCTAAATTTTCCGTTTCCGCGGTAAAAATATGCACATTCGTTGGACTATAGCACAGAGCAACTAACTGAGTGAAAATCTATGGTGTTATTGGCTGCAAAATTATGAAATTGGCGTATATAAAATTGCTTTCATATGGGTGTGTGTGCTAGAGGGAAAAAAGAAGAGCTCGTTGCGCTAGAAAACACCATACGCAAGTAAATGCATTTGAGGCAACAACAAAGACAAAAGAAAAAGGGCGAACGGAGCCTCCATACGGGCACATAAGAAAATAAAATAGTACTTATAAATAAACCATCAAGTCACTTTTCCACTTGAGCGCGAGTGTTGTAGCTTAAGAAGCTAACATTTTCTTGATGCATGCAGAGTGGGGTGTGTTAGCAGAAAACCAACTGGTACATAACCGGGTATTCTTGTTCGTTCGGCAACCATAGGTGGTAAACGCAAGGCGCAAGACGCATATTTTCATTGGATTCTTTTTCTATAATTAGTTTCGTGTTTTTGTTTACATGCCACACATTCGTCAATTGCCGCATCTCTTTTGTTTATTATTTTATCTGTGAGCATTTGTTTCTGTATTCAACAGAAATTGTGATTTTTGTTAAACAATTGAATAGTGGTGATTGCTCTATTGACCGTCGCGCCAATGTATGAGCAGCCGTCCGCGAAATTGTGCAGAATATTTTTAAAAAGTTGGCAACTAGTGCTCTACCTAGTGTATATATCAAAGTTTTAACAAATGACTGGGATCTTCAACTAAGGTTGAAATGTAAATTTGTAAAACCAATGATATAAGCTTATAAATTA